TGAGGATGATCGTGGCATAAAATACAAATTTTATGTAAATATTTTAGATGAAGCACAAGGCTTCAAAGTATTTCCTTTGCCTTTGCATATCCAGAGCTGTTCCACACAATCAATGTTGCCTCTGGCGTCAAGAGCTCTTTAGCGCAAAGTTCCCCTTCTTTCTTAACCGTCCCCATCAATAACTATTACATATACACACAGGCACACACACACACACAACCACACATGTGCGTGCGCACATACACACATATGTATACATGTATGTATTTAGCAAGTCTAGAACAATTTATTTAAGCAATTACTGATTTAAAATGAAATAGTGCTTAAGTACAAATACATTAATGCACTGCATTACTACATTATGTTCTTCCTTGCCATGTGGTCCCATTCAGAGCTCTGCATAAGGTGATGTGTCCTTATGCAGGCACAGAGGAAGGGTCCATTTGCTTCTTATGGTGACCCTTTGCTCAGGATTTTATCTGGATTCTCCCACTGTATGGATATTATATTTTCCCTCCCACAATTAGTGCAAGATGTCTAAGGAATCAAACTGAGACCATGAAAATACCCAGCTCACTATCAAAATTGCTTCCTAGATTTAGTATCCATTGACCTTTGCCTGAACCAGATTTGACTAACATAGTTGCAAAATGGTGACTAGCCAACTGCACTACTCCCTTGGCATTTATCAGCAACCACTGCACAGAGTATGCCGTCTATCCCTCTAGTTATCTATCTAGTTCATCTTTTGGGTTTGCTCAGTAAGGACACATGGGTTTTAGGTTTACTTAACAGACTATAATCCCCTGTGGTCCTGTTTTTAGCTGTAATATTCAAACTGTTCCAATGTTGATCAGTGACTAGCATGATCCTTCACACAGACCCCCATGTCCTTTGGACATGATTTGCTGTTGTTTTGAGAACTTAAGTTTTGAGGCTAATATATTCTAATCATTTTTGTTTGCATGGGCCTACTGTCCCCATCCCAGCCCTGGAAATAACAATTTTTCTAAGGTGCACTGTTTCTTTTAAAAGGGAGTAATTTTTAGAAGGTGGGGTCTGTGTTCCATATATGCTCATTGCCATGGGGGGTGCCACTGCTTCTTGGCCTTTCCAGTGGACAGAGTTGGGGTTTCATTCTGGGATAATTGTGGGGACACAAAGGATACCATTCCTTGTAACCCTCTAGGTTCTTCTTAGTCTAGACAAGTAATCAAAACAGCATCAAGAGGGGTTAGCAAAGGAAAAACAATCAAATTAATAAAAGTTTTATAAATTCTAAAGTTACTGGAACAGAGCAGGGATATTTGCTCTACATACAGGGACAGTAAGGGGACTACACATGACAGATAAAGAAGGGGGTTAGAGTGACCATACCCCTACTATCAGAGAAAGATGAGATTCTTAGCTAGAGGGAACATGTTTACTGATAAACCAACAACTGGGTGAATTCTTTTGGATATCTCTTCTTTAATGAGGGAAGGGCAAAGGGCTTAGGTAAGAAGAGAAGCTTCTCTTAGCCTCCAGGACCCTCACTGCTCTCAACCCCAAACAATCTACATTCTGTAAGTAGCAGTAATAGAACTCAGAAGTCTCACAGGATCTTGATTGATCTCTAGTTCCCATACAAAGATGATAAAAGGACTATTCCAGCATATTGAGAAAAGTTGATCTGACCCTTTCAGGGAAACCAATTCCACTGATTCAATCCAGTTTCATCCTACAGGTGTTTGCCTTGTCTTCACCTTTTTAAGCCTCTGCTAAATCTACCATGCTCACAAAATAGATTCAGAATTGCCATACCCACACACCTACTGTTAGAGGAAGACTGAGGAGCAACCTCCCAGCCAGTGGGTGGCGCTCATAGTCAACTCAAAGGCAAGAGGGGGTTGCTTTTCAGACTTGGACTCCATCCCCTGACTTCCTGAACAGAGACTGCTGAGAAAAAGGCGCTGACTGATATGAGTATACCAGATATGACTGAACAAGGTGGGCTGCCCTCCTAGTTTGACTTCTGTTTGCACCCTGGTCTCTGCTCACTTGCCACTGTCTTTGGTGGAACAGAGGGTAAACTGCTTTGTGCTGCCAATTAACTCTCTTCTTCTCTTTTTCAGTGTTCCCATTTCTCACTCCCATGTAAATTGCCTTGGGTCTTGCCCTCTATTCTTAAGTGGCCAGCTAAGGACTCTCCAACTGGGTCATCCCTTTTTCCTTGGGTTGTCCCTGTAGCAAGATGACACCAAAAAAATATTTAGAATTTAGTTGCAGTTCTAGTCTCCCTTCTAGACTAGGAGTAAAGTACCATGTTTAAATTTAATATTCTGTATTACTACTATAGCCATAATTCCAATTACTCAGAATGTTACCTTTTTACCCTCTCAGATAATTTTTCATTCATTTGAAAAGTAGCTGGATTCATTTGATTCTGTTTGCATTCATATTAGATTTTTCCCCATTCCTGTTAACTTTAATTTTGAATACATAGAACATTAACATGATTTCAAAAGTCTAAACTATGCAAAAAGGTATACTCAGATGTTCTCTCCCTCCACTCCCTTGGAAACCATTTCAATAGAATCATCCTTGTTCCTGTTTTTAGCATTAATGCTCCATGATGTGTATGAACAACAGTTTGTCCAATCTACCTCTTATATTTGGGCCTTTAGGTAAATTTCAATATTTTGAAATTATGATAGAAGTCCTCCTCACTTCAGTTTCACTTTCTGCAGTTTGTTACCTGAGATGAACTGTGGTTGAAAAATATTACAGGCTACTTGATTTATGACAGAAAGAGAGGGAGAGTGAAATACTTCCACATATTTATTACAGCAGTTTGTTATGATAGCTCTATTTTAATGAGTTATTGTTATTAATCTCTTATCATTCTTAACACTATGCTTTATTGATTCATAAATTAAGCTTCATCATAGGTATATCTATATAGGGAAATACACAGTACATATAAGGTTTGGTACCACTAAGGTTTGGTATGGTTTCAGGCATCCACTAGCTGTGTTGGAACATATCCCCTAGAATAAATGGGCACTAGTCCACTAGCAATTACTCAGTGACCAAACTTGGTTATGTATTTTTATATTGGTGGAGGCTAATCTTTATGAGTAATTCTTACAAATGGGATGGATGGTCAAAGGGTACATGCAATTTTCTTCTACAGCGAGTGCCCCATTCTGCTTTCCCACAAACACTGTAGTATGTCCCTTTTCCCACAGTCTCACCAACAGAGTACACAGATAAGTTTTCTGAGAGGTAGAGAGACATGGTAGCTCACTATAATTCAATTTGCATTTTTCTTACCAAGTGAAGTTGTATATATTCATATATTCAAAAGCCATTTGTATTATTATTTCCTAAATGTTTGCTCGTGACTTTTGCTCATTACTTTTTAAAGATTTACTTATGCATACAGAATTGGAGTACAGGACAGAGGTGCAGGGGCAGTGAGAGGATTCACCAGAGACAGAGTGGGGAGCAGAACAGGCAGACTGATGAAGTACACTACTGAGGGGAGCAGTGGACAGGTCAAGAGAGGTCTGCTGTGCCATGTGGGTCACCTACAGGGCAGGCGGGGATCAAACTCATGCTGAAGTGGCTTTAGCTTCTCAGTGCTGTGCGTTAACACGCTGCACCACCAGGGAGGGCCCGGTATCACAACATTTTAATTATAGAGAGCCACAATTTTTAAATTGATGAAACAAATAAAATGACTGATCAAACTGGCTGGTCAGGGTCTATGCACAAAACTACTGAATGCCTTGACAGTCCAGTCCTGGCTGGCCACATGCCTCCTTGTGCTGCTTTTGCTGTCCTATGCGGCAACATGTGAGGAAGCTACCAGTGCTGCCTCTACTGATGTTAGTGTGGTGCCGATACAAAAGGGTAGCTTAGTTATTTAGTTCTCATGACTCTAAACTAAACTAGGACCAGACTCTTAAAATGTTAAAGGCCCAGGGTCTCCCTGGTAACCAGAGCAGAGTTTGTGGAGTAACATTATCTTCTTGATTCAGCATGATTTCTTCTAGGGAAGTTCTCTTCCTGGCCAGTTCATGTTTTCAGAGACCCTCTGAGCGCCCTCAGGCCCAGGTAGGGCAGGCAGCCATGGTTCCCCTAGATGCCTTCCCACGGCCTGTCCCTGGCCTGCAGCTGCCTGCAGCTGCCAGCAGTGCTGCGGGGCTGGGAAGCCGAGTCAGCCCGCAGCAGCCACAGAGGTCACTCTGGAGGACAGCTGTGTCTGGGCTCCAGTGATTAATGTGATGTTAATCCCAACAAAAACGATGGGTGAGAGGCCCTGTGAGAACATTTACAATCAATAAATGAAAAACACCACTCCCATCAGACTCATTATCACTATGAAAAATCACCCTGAAATTACACAAGAAACCCAGCCCTGGAGCCATTAGTTGACAATTGGCAAAGTCCCTCCTTTTAAGCTAATTCAGTATAAGAATTTGTTGTTTGGATTTCGACTTTAGAATGAGCCCATGGCCAAACTTCTAACAAGTCATCTGTGCTTCTAAAGTCACCTCTGAGACACAATCTCACCTCTCCCAGGAAGACAACGCAGCCTGGCCCTTCTACAGGTTCCTTCACTGTCAAGAGGTGAACGTCGCACTTCCCCAGGTCAAGACTGATTAACTGCCAGGACTGCGCCGCCTGATAGCAAGGAGCAAGGACAGCTCTGACCACTACTACAATGACACAATTCATATACATGTGGGAAGAAATCAAAAGTCACTGGAGAAGTTACGTGCAAAGAGTGAGTTTTCTGTGCTGACCTGACACCTACTCTGATGCGCCACTTTGATTCTCTATTAACAATCTTGCTAAAAAACCAATGCAAACTGTATAACTAAGCAAACGCCACTGAACCCCATAATCGATGAACAGACACAACTGCTGTCTCCAGGAATGGGTACAGGAAAACTCAAACATCATAGGCGCAGGTGGGGCCTTCAGTGCCCCCCGGGCTCCTGCAGACTCACCGTGCTGTCAATGTAAGCTTCTGTCCACACCACATCATGCTCCTGGTCAATGACTTTGGGTCGGCTGAGTACATGGAGGTACTCCATGACGTTTTCCTGCACATCAGCCAAGGTGGATATCTGGGTGAAAAATCCTGTCAAATCCCAAAAAAGAACCAAGGTTAGTGACGAAGCCAATGAGTACACAGACATGGCCTCCAGCTAGTTTCTTTCTTTTTTACATTTTATTTTATTTTAGTCCCCTTGTCCCTTTCCTTCCTTCTTCTCTCTTAATCTCAGGATCTTTGGGATGCTTATTAAAATTTTTGAAGTGTTTTACCTTATTGAATTGTATACTATGTAAATGTCTAGTATTTGTTTATATCATTCAGACTCAACTGTGCATAATTCAAATTGCCTCCATTATGTTGAAATGGCTATATTTCGTCTTTTCTTCTGACTATAGAATACTCCATGGTGTATAGGCCAAACCTTTGTGGTTCACTCATCTGTTGATAGCCACTTACCTGCTTCCACATCCCAGCTATTGTAACTAGTGCTGCTATGAGCACTGTGGCAAATACAGAAGTTTTTGTTGATGTTTCATATTTTGCAGCCAGATTCCCAGGAGTAAGATTGCTGGGTTGTAAGGTATTTCTAGTTTTTTAAGGTAAATCCAGACTGCATTCCACGATGGTTGCACCAGTTTACATTCCCACCAACAATGTAATAGGGTTTCTTTTTCTCTCCTTTCTAAAACATTTAAACATCTCATGAGTGCCATTATTCACTTTGTGAATAATGTGCAAGAGGAATAAAATTGAGATCACCCATAAACCCACCTCCCAGTGGAAGCCCCTGTTAGCCCTTTAGTGAATATCTCCCCAGACTTCTGGGAGTCCATTCTATAATTTGTTTTTTTTGTACTTCAGTGAACTCATTTCTAAGCAGAAGACAATAATCCAAAAACTTAAAAGGTACCTCATTTTTTAATAACTATAAACTAATAACTATGATTAAATTGGAAGTGCTTATTAAAGCACACAATTTATTAGATGCTTAATAATCTTTGCCTCACTTATTCTTAGCAGCACAATGGAATGTGGATTACTGTATCTGCTTTAAAGATAAGATGACTGAGGCAAACTTAATGTATTTATTTTGTCCACATTCACATGGATATGAAGCTGCAAATACTAAAAGTCAATCCAGGCTTGAGTCTCTTGCTCTGCCTTTTCGTTTTGCAGAATTTTGTGTTTTGTGTGTGTTGGAGACAGAAATACTCTAGCTCCTATGCTCATGTGACTGGTTACCACACCAGCTTTTGAAACATGCTGGGTAGACATGGGTCCTAAGCAATAGAAGATGTCCCCTCATGGGTGGGGGTGCCACTTTGATCTTGAGTTCAGGGCACCACTACTTCCTCTTCAGCTTAGGGTCCTTTGGCACTGCTGTGAGTTGGAAAAGTCAGAAGGAAAAGTACAGAGAGGCAGGTCTCCAACTTTGGGAGGGGGAATCTTTCACTCAAATATTTGTGGAAGATGTTCATGTTGCCTAGCACTGGAGAGGAAAGGATTAACAAGGACCTTTGCCCTCCTGGGCCTGGGTAGTCTGAGCAAACAGACAGTTCAAAAATAGTACAATCGGCCCTCCCTGGTGGCGCAACGGGTTAAAGCACTGCACTGAGAAGCTGAAGCCACTTCCGCATGAGTTCAAATCCCGCCTGCTCCGGAGGAGACCACATGGCGCGGCAGACCTCTCCTGTCTCGCCCGCTGCTCCCCTCAGCAGTGTACTTCGTTGATCTGCCTGTTCTGCTCCCTGCTCTGTCTCTGGTGAAGCCTCTCACCGGCCCTGAGCCTCTGGCCTGTACCCCAGTTCTGTATGTACAAATAAATAAATCTTTAAAAAAAAAAATAGTACAATCAATATTACGCTAAAGCACACAGCAGACACAGTGAAGCAATTAGCTATCCCAAGAAAGGGTCAGTACAGCTGAATCTTCAAGTATGAGTACCAGTTAGCCACAGGAAGAGGGGTTAAGAGTGGGTCCAGCAAAGCAACCAGTGTAAGGGCCAAGGTCACAGTCAGGTCCTCGCTAGGAAGCGCAAGTAGCCCAGAAAGGCTGGAGTAAGAAATGTGAAGAATAGAATAGAATTAGGGAGCTAGAAGATCAGAGAAATGAGCAGGGGACTATCACATAGGATCTTGGAAGGAGTTTCGGTTATGTCTTAAAGGCAGGTAGTCAAGAAAAGATTTTAAACAGAGGAATGGACACAGATTCACGTTTCTTCTAAATGCAGACTTTTATGACTAAGCTCATGCCAGTTCCTGCAGTCAAACAAATCGAGAGGGTGTGTGTGCCTCTGAGGCCAGATCTGTCACAGCACTTGCTATAGTGTTTATAGAATCTTTAGTGTCTAAAACAGGGCTCTGGGTAAGGAAACACCAGCCCTTCTGTTGTCCAGAAAGGGCTGGGACCCTCCCATGGCATTTCCAAACAATGGCCAGCTGGTTTAAATTTGGTATGCCAAACCCAAACCAGGTTGGGACCATGTGGCTTCTGGCTTCCTGATGACAGCTGTGCACAGTGCTAATTAACATGCATTGTCACTCCTGCCTACCACACCCATCCCACGCGAATTAGGGTCCCAGAAGCCTAGGCTGTGAGTGTTCTATCTTGGGATTCTAGAGCACGACCCCTGAGCACATAGACACTCCCTCTGAGGACACAGTGGGAACACTGTTCTTGCAGGCCCCCAGCTAACCCCTTTAGGAGACATGGTGGGAAAGACAAAGTTTACAGAGAGTTTCTGGATGAAGGTAAACTCCCAGTTACCATCTCTCCATGTGCAGTGCTGCAAACCAGTGTTCATCTCTTGTCTAGCAGGTAAATCTTAGACTTGGAGCAAGGATCTTAGATACATGCTCCATAAGCTAAAAGAAGTCACCATGTTGATAAGAGGACAGATGTCGATGGTTCTGGACCATCCATCAGCACGCACTTGTGAGTAATTCAAATTTAGAATAATCCCTACATTTTTGTGCCAAAGTACAGACAAGACAGCATCGCCTAGCAGGATACTTCCCCTCCCCCCCAACTTGGTTGTCTGTATTTTCATTCTAATCTGCAAAGCCAACAGTAAAAATCCATGATTTGAGTTTTCCAAAATAAAGCCGAGAGAAGAAAGGGAGTGAATCTAAGGTAGATGGGAGAGACAGATCATTAGCCTAGAGGGGGAGTGGGAACGAAACACAATCTCACATTTGGAAGGGGAGTGAGTTGAGAAACCATCCTCACTCTTGGCCTTGCTTATCATGGCCAGAGTTCTGAAAAGTTACAGAAAGTTGGCTTGTCCCCAGACTACAGACATAGAGCCAGCTCTGCATCTGACACCTCCACAGAGATGACTAGCAGGATTTGCAGACTGAATTTGTCCAAAGCCAATTGCTGATCTCCTGGTGGATCTTCCTCATCTCAGTGCCACTGTTCAATTAGGCCAAGAACATAAAAATTATTCTTGAATTATCCTTGATATCCGTCATTTCCTCACTCCACCCCATAGCTAATCCACCAGCATGTTCTTCTGACCTTACTTCTAAGATAGAGCTAAAATCCACTTCCCATCTCCCCTGCTCTCATCCTGATCTAAGCCTCTGTTGTCTCTCCCCTAGCACTATCCTCTCCCCAAGTCCCCTTTTATCTAGGCTCCTCATAGCAGTCAGAAAAAATCAATTAAAGGCATAAAGCAGATCTTCTCCTAACTTGAAACCCTAAAATGACTTCAACTTAGAGTCAGAGTAAAATCGCTGACCCCTAAGACCCTCCCTCAATTGGCTCCCTGCCTGTCTGGACAACCTCTTCCCATTCTGTTCTCTCACCCTGCCCATTGTTTCAGCTCACTGGCCCTTCACTTCCTCTCACACACCAGGCTCATCACCCCCCTGCTAATACTCCTCCCCCATCCCGGATCTTTGCACTTGCTGTTCCCTCTGCTTGGTATATCTTTTGTCCTGCTATTCCCTGGCTGGGCCCTTTTTGTCACTTAGGGTTCAGCTGTCTGCAATCATTTCCTCTCCCTTCCCCTTGCCTTCACTTTCTTTAGAAGATCCATCCAGCGCTGAATTCTGACTTGCTGACTTATTATGTTGTCTGTTTTATTTTTTCATGGATATTAGCTCCATAAAATGTTGCAAAATGCTGGCCCCCATCTTTTCTAGAACCAGAACCAGGTTCATAGGTCTGTGGGGGTTGTCAGTAGTGCAGAGCCAGTCATGGGATTGCTGTGACTCACATCACCTGTCTGCACAGGACACCATGACAGCCCAACTCGTGCTCATGATACAGGCAGGGGATAGAAACACAGAGAGTTTGCTGACGCATCCCAGATCAATTTATCCAGGTTCACATCATACTAAAAACCATTGCTCTAAACCTCTGCCAGTCACTGACTCTTTCCATACTGGAAAAGGGCAGGCCTGGCTGCTCTGAAGACATGGTAGGCACCCCTGATGGGTGGTCAGTGTCTCTGTGGCTGGGAAAGGGTGAAGATGGGGTAGAGAATGTATGCTTTTTCCTGAAGTTTTCAACAAATGCTTAATAATCAGCACAAAGGTCTACTCACAACCCAAGACGTGGTTCTAATTTATATTTCAGTATGTAGACCAGAAATGCATATGTATGAAAGGTAAGAAAAGCTGAAGTTATGAAGATAATATTAATATTGTACACTGCAAAGTTTAATGCACATTGATCATCTAACTGCAACCCATGAAAGCTTAAAATTTTTCTGAAAGTCTTTTTTGTTTTGAAATGTTTTCATAGAAGTTTTAGTTAACAAATGTACTTTTTGATGGATAACAGGAAGTCGCTGCTGACTGGACTCTTTGGCTGTAACCATAGCCACTTCCCTTGTGTTCACTGTGCATTCTCTGAATTGGCCACTTTCCTTCCTACCCACTCCCTCCCCTTTTAATTTCTTTTAACTTCTAGCTCTTGAATGTTTATTGTCTTCTTTAATGTGCCTTTTTGGACTTCATAGATCATGTAAGAAAACAGAATCAGTAATCATTCAGTAATTACCAGGGAGTAATTAATGCTGAAATTAGCCACCTATTATAAATGGTCGGCTCATTTTTCTATATAACATCAATTTA